GGTTGGGTTGGGTTGGGTTAGGGCTTTCTAAGACTTGGGGCCCATTTGACCAGTCATGTGTGGATTAGATGACGCTGGGAACTATCATGAAAGACCCCAATTAACTGGCCATTACACTGCAGCACCAAGTGAACTATAAACCCCACAATACTTAATATTTTACACGTCTTTACCCACACAATAAAAACTTTACCCAAAAATTACACCAAACTTTATCGTGGAAGTTGAGAGTTGTGTCTTGAGAGAAGTCGTCGTGAGTGAGGTAAGGATCTGTGCCAAACAAACTAAGGGGTAATTTGCATACTAGGTAAAGCTCGGCTGACGGGGGTGTTCATCTTAAGGAAAAGTGATATTTTTTTATGGTTGTGAAACTGTATATATTGCATTCCTCTACCTCATTTTTTTGTATGTTTTAATACGAAATACTGAAACGATTATGTGAAATATATGTTATGTACATTTGGGAACTAATTATTTCGGATAATTATTTCGAAAGGTGTTCCAATTTGCAATGAAAAAATTCTATTACCGTAATATAACTACCGGCACAGATTGCATGACCTTAGAATTATTCCATGTAACTAAAAATGTAACAATTTTTAGAACAGATTAGCACTTTACTTCCTCTCCCCCTACCACCCCCCTAGCCCCCCCCCCACACACACACACATGCACGCTCACACATTCAACATAGCTCTCATACATAGACCAGTTTAATTTCTCATCTCCCTACAACAGCTTGACACAACAGAACAGAACAGTACAGTACACAAGGGCAGAGAACCACCAGGGCTTGTACTATAAATCTTCACCTGCACCAAAACTAAAAACCAAAAGTCGTAAAAAAAAAAATAAAAAAATAAAAAACGTAAAATAATAAATAAACCAATAGGAAGAGAGTAAAGACATAAACAAAACAGGTGACCCATATACCCCAATAGTATAAGTGAAATAAACATCCTGACAAACACAATATCATACTAATTAACACCGTAGAGTATAAAGGTGAAATAACCGAGTCAATACCTTAAATAACGAGGTGTGATTACAAAGTCCTACATGATAAAAATAACACTCACAAAAATTTACAGAATAAACATCGAGAATAATAAACATAATTATTAGATTTTTAAGGTTAACACAAATTATAATACGAACACCTATCATAAGCGTTCAGTGGGGGGGACCTTGTTATTGCCAATGTTGGATAAAGACCACGTTATTGCCAATGTTGGGTAAGGACCACGTCACTGCCAATGTTGGATAAAGACCACGTTATTGCCAATGTTGGGTAAGGACCACGTCACTGCCAATATTCCAGATAAACAAAGGGAACTCACAACCTTAACAGATCCACGTCACGTCCAAGGAGATACCGCCACACCAGGTAGTCACAGGTGTGGTCAAGGGTGAGTGTTTTATCTACACCAAGTGATCCTCAAAAATACGTGTCTTGAGAGTGTCGCTTCGTCTTCCCGATGCCCAGAGTGTTACAGCTGTTGTCTTCACGTCTTTCTATCTCTCTTACAGCTGTTGTCTTCACGTCTTTCTATCTCTCTTACAGCTGTTGTCTTCACGTTTCTATCTCTCTTACAGCTGTTGTCTTCACATCTTTCTATCTCTCTTACAGCTGTTGTCTTCACGTCTTTCTATCTCTTTTACAGCTGTTGTTTTCACGTCTTTCTATCTCTCTTACATCTGTTGTCTTCACGTCTTTCTATCTCTCTTACATCTGTTGTCTTCACGTCTTTCTATCTCTCCACTTTATACTTACCTGTTCCTCCCCTCTTCCATAACCCTCATAATCATCCGCTTCTTGGTCAATACTTCCTTCCATCTTCCTCTTCCATTTCTGTACGATACTTCCTCCTCCTATCTCTTCCATTCTCCCAAACTTCCCCTTCTCTTAGACTTATCTCTGTTCCTTCTTCGTATCTCTCATTACTGCCCTCTTTCTTCCTTCCTGTTACTCTCCCAGTCCTCTCCCTCATCACTATGTCATCCATTCTTTAGCAGTTCGCTTCTCCCCTTCGTCCAATTCACTTTCTCCTTCCTTTCCATTTCCTCCACTCTTAATTCTACACTTCTCTCTACATTCTCCATCCACCCTTCCTTCAACATCTCATCTACTATTCCTTTCCTCTCTATCTCCTCCACTCCCCCTTCTCTCTCCATATCATTTACTTTCCCTTCTCTTCCACCTTATCCCAACTCTCCCAGACACTCCTTCCCTCCCTTTCTCCACTCTTCCCTCCCAGCATCTCTTACCCTCTCCCCTCTTTGCACCTCTTCCAAGTCTCTCCCTCTCGCTAACTCTCCCAAGTCTCTCGCTAACTCTCCCAGGCTCTCCCCTGTATGAAGCTAAATGACTAATATATCAAAGTGACATCAGGAAACCTCCCCAACCTGTTCCTCCTTCGGCAGTAGAATGAAGGAAATATATACAGAATATACACCAGTTAAGGGGGGGGGGAGGAGACCAAAGCCTGGGAGGGGGTAAGGGGGAGTGTATGACCATTAAGGGTGTGAAGGAAGAGGTTGAAGGTCGTTAAGGGCTAAGGGAGAGAGGTTGTTGGTCATTGAGGGGTAAAGGGAGAGAGAGAAAAGGAATGATAAACGTCGTCACAGTTGGCTAGTAGAACAGAGAGAAGCGAAGGGGGAAGAAAAGGGGAATAGTAAGGGGGGTTAAGGGAGGTTAAGGGGGGATTTAAGGGGGGGGATCCCATAGGAGGATCTTGTCTCTGTGGCTACTCTCTGTGATTGATATTTTCCGGCCGTAGACATTCCGACGGGGGATTATATGGGCGAGTCCCTTATGATGGTGGTGAAAGTGATGGTGTAGATGGTGGTGTAGATGGTGGTGGTGTAGATGGTGGTGGTGTAGACGGTGGTGGTGTAGACAGTGGTGGTGTAGACAGTGGTGGTGTAGACAGTGGTGGTGTAAACGGTGATGGTGTAAACGGTGATGGTGTAAACGGTGATGGTGTAAACGATGATGGTGTAAACGGTGATGGTGTAAACGGTGATGATGTAAACGGTGATGATGTAGACAGTGGTGGTGTAAACGGTGATGGTGTAAACGGTGATGGTGTAGACAGTGGTGATGGTGTAGACGCTAATGTTGAGGAAGTAAACAAGATCAATATCATGCTCTCTCTCATTCTCTCTCAATTTCCTGCTATCTCTCTCTCTCTCTCTCTTTTTTTCTCTCTCTCTCTCTCTCATCGTAAGGCTTCTATCAACCATTCGGCAACTATTCCTCTTTCCTACCATTTCCTTTTCCTGTTTTAATTGTTGTAATTTACTTTATCGTCTCGTCATTACGTTGACTATAAGAATATTTCGAGTAAAATGACAAGAATATTGTCGGAATTTTCTTGTTATTTGTCCGACTGTTTGTCTGTATTTTCAACTATCTATCCATCTATCTATCTATCTATCTATCTATTTATCTATCTATCTATCTATCTTTCTATCCATCGTGAAAGGGAAGAGGCATAGGAAGGAGGAAGAGGAGAGGGACGCAACTACATACTTAAAGACCAAACGACTTAATTACCTCTACTCATTAAGCCTAATATCAAGCAAAGAATCATTTAACACAATACAATGCAACAAGACAAACCAAGAATCCACTTTTAGTCTCGTACATGAACCAAAAAATAAAAATAAATAAAATCAAAATATCCCTCCAGCGAGAACCACCCATTACGTCAGGTCAGGAGAGGGGGGTCGAAGAGGAATCACAGGACGAGAGCAACAGGCATACTCAGACTCATCCTGTGTGTTGTGTTATGTTTAAATATGCATCAAACAACGGCAGTCACAGTACATGAAGGGAAGAGCTTCGTCGTGTTGCAGAGATACAGTGTGTAGAAAACGATGTATTAGTATTATTATTATTGTTGTTGTTTTACTCAGTATTTCAAGAATAGTCTAAGTGTTAATATTCACCACTTAAGTAATGGTCTTTGGTAGTTTATTTTACCATCATTTATTTGGAAGGAAGTTCTTTTTTTTTATATGGAAATTGGAAAATATAAAATAGCGAGACGTGTTTACAGGGGAGTTTAAATACAATCCACTGGAGAACGTTCTATATCTGCCAGTAAAGCCTTGATAAAAAGAGACTTACAAATAGAAAAAAAGGAAAAAAAATACATCGATATATACGCTATTGACCGTGAAGCAACCTGACAGACAGATACACAAATAGACATGCTGACAAATATACCGACGATAAACAAGTAGATAAGACTTCAGTCATGATTCCTCGGTACAAGACAAGAGACCGATCAAGATAAAAGATAATATCCCAGAATACACCACAGACAGACAGACAGATGAAACGTACCTCACAGGAACCAAAGGCCACACGGTCCGTCAAGTGAGGGCGAGTCTTGTGTGCTACGGATTTCCACAACCGCTGTCTGGCCTGCGGGAGAATGCCTTGTTACCGCCGCATACAATAGCCCAACCTGAGCCCCATTGACGACGATACAATGCCATTAACAAGGGCTCGAATACGCCCTTACACATCCTCCAAAACGCGATGAGCAAACATTTCCTTGAAACAAATGAATGTTGAATGAAATCACCTCCTCGCGTTGGCTGCCACCTCCTCCTCCACCCCCCTCCCCCCCCCTGGACAACCGTGAATTTCAATAGACTTTCGCCCAGTTATTATTCAAAATACTAATGAACCGAACCAATCAGGGGAGGGTTGCGTGCAATATTTCAGTCGCCCCGTTGTGCGCTTTTAGTACGTCATTTGGTGCAGAAATTGGAGAACAACAGACGTGCTTTGGTTATATCTCGGGCCACCAGGAACTAATTTGTTGTACTTGTAGTGGCGGCCGTTGTCCAGCGAGGAGGAGGAAAGGGAGGGGGGATAAGGGGAGGGTTAAATCTGACGGCCGAGGGATATGAGTGAGAGAGGGGGAGGAAGAGGGGGAGGGGTTAAGGAAAGATGGAGTCTACAGTTTCTGATTTATTCCCAGTTGTGAATGCCGTCCCCGACTTGGATGTTGGCGACAGAACACACCCGGATTCACAACCTCGGGCCATGTTGCTTTACGGGGATTGTAAGTTCGTCTTTTATCCATCTTGCATGAGCATTAGAGGACACCTGTAGGCCTGTGACTGCTGCTTCAGGGAAAACTCACAGCTTTATTGTTTCTTATCATCTAATTGTTTTATTTGTATTATTTTAGTAGTAGAAGTAGTAGTATTATTATTTACTATAATAATAATAATAATAAATGTTTCATTTATTATTATTAATAATATTATTATAAATGTTTTAATCAGCATTATTATTATTAATGTTTTAATTATTATTACTCGTATTATTATTTTTATTATAAATGCTTTATTATTATATTATTATTATTATTACTGATATTGATATCATCAGTATCATGAAATCTATTTCATTCTTGCCTAATTTTGCAATACAGTTAAATGTATATAACCATTAGCTCAAAAAAGTCCTTCATCGTGACAGAAAAACTAAAGAAATTAAGAATCAAATGAAGTAAACTTTAAAAAGTATTGATCAAACCAAATAAAACTTTAGAAATAATGAATCATTTATTATTATTTAAGAGTTGTCAAAACAGGTAAAGATAATTCCTTCCAGCAGCACAATACCTGGCGGCTCTGTATACAAAATGCTTGGTAGTAATACAGTTGTGTCTAAGAGGATTACGAAAGAAGTTCCTCATTTGCATATTCAAGATTTTAATGCTATTAGCGTGGGAGTCTTTGAGTGAGCAGCAGTTGAGTGGCCGTCAGGTGTGTAGGGTGTGGGCTGCTAGGTGTGTGTGAGGTGTGGGATCCTAGGTGTGTGAGGTGTGGGATCCTAGGTGTGTGAGGTGTGGGATCCTAGGTGTGTGAGGTGTGGGATCCTAGGTGTGTGAGGTGTTATTTCTGTGCAATAACAGGTGTGTGGGGGGTTAATTTATGTAGGGTGTCAATAGAATGTCAAGTGTGGGATGTCAGGAGTGTGTGTGTGTGCTAGTTCTGCGAATGATAGCCGTGTAAAATGTGTGTATGGGTGTCAGATATGTGTGTGTGTTATGTATGTGTTGTGTCAGACATCAAAATATCAGGTATTCCTAAAAAAAATGAAAAAATAAAAAGATTTTAATAAATGCCAAAATAATTCAGTAAAAGAGAGAGAGAGAGAGAGAGAGAGAGAGAGAGAGAGAGAGAGATAAGGGGTGAAACTGCTAACCCACACTACATTACACGGTCGACAATTCTGAGTATTTTCCGGGATAAATTCACCCTTACGACATTCAGTTTCGGAAGGTTGTTGTTGTTGTTGTGTACTACAGTAAGCGTGAAAGGAGGAAAGCAATGGACGAGTTATTTCATATAATGTAACTCTCTCTCTCTCTCTCTCTCTCTTTTCTTTTTTTATTCTCCCTCTCTGACCTCTATCCTTTATTTCTTCCTTTCCCGTTCTACCCCTTATATCTCCTTCTCTCCCACTTGCACCTTCATCGCCCCTTTCCCTCCTAACACCTTCTTTCTCCCCTCCCTTCCTTCAATCTAATCCCCCGTTCCTCCTTTCCCTGCCGCAATCCCTCCCAATTCCCGTCATCCTTCCTCCTCCCTTCTTTCTGCTCTCACATCCCTACCTCCCACACCGTTTACCGTTTCCCTCTCTGGGTTCCACATCCCTCTCCCCCTTCCACATCCATCCCTGCCTCTCCCCCTCCCACGTCCCTGTCCCTCTCTCTCCCACATCCATCCCTGCCTCTCCCTCCCACGCCCCTCTGTCCCTCTCTCCCCCTCCCACATCCATCCCTGCCTCTCCCTCCCACGTCCCTCTGTCCTCTCCCCTCCCACATCCATCCCTGCCTCTCCCCCTCCCACGTCCTCTGTCCCTCTCCCCCCTCCCATCCATCCTGCCTCTCCCCCTCCCACGTCCCTCTGTCCCTCTCCCCCTCCCACATCCCTCCCTTCCTCGCACACCGTTTCCCTCTCTGGCTTCTAAATTCCCAGCAGAAATTAGGTCGAGGTAAAAACAGGTAGGACGTTGATTAGTCCGGGATAGACGCAGCTCCCACCCTCAAAAGCCGTGATAAGTGACCACACACACACACACACACACACACACACACACACACACACGCACACGCACACACACCTGAATGGATATATATACCTGGCCACTAGGTTTTTTAGGCTATATTATTTTGCAATTTTTTTTAAGGTCAGGTTAGGTTAGGTTAGGTTAGGTTAGGTTAGGTTAGGTCAGGTTAGGTTAGGTTAGGTTAGGTTAGGTTAAGCTTTACACACTAAATATACTTTATAACAAGTGAGAAGTATATATATATATTTTTTTTTTGGGGGTCTCTATCGCTCATTCCCTAACGTTCAAGAAACTCTTATATTTACCCAGTGACGCAGAAATGTTTCCACTTTTGCTCCCACCTGCTTTTAATTTTGAGTCATTTACAGGCAGGTGTTGTTAATATCCTGTAATGGCGGCAGTGAGTCACGAGAATGTGGTGTCTGTGTTGCTTTTAATTTCTGACGAGTTTGTGAGTGAGAGAGGGAAGGTGGGGGAGTAAGGGAGGGAAAGGGAAGTAAGGGGAGAGGGAGGACTGGGGAAGTAAAGGAGAGGGAAGAGACGAGGAAGTAAAGGAGAGGAAAGGTAGAAGTAAGGGAGAGGGAGGAGAGGGAAGTAAGGGAGAGGGAGGAAGAGGTGAAAGTAAGGGAGTGGTTAGTGGACTGGGAGATGTACGGAACATTCAATAATGAGGTTAAGGTGGGGGGGTGTGGAGAGTGAAGTGATGAGGAGTAGAAGAAGGGGAGAAGTGAAGGAATGGGAGAGATGAGGTGAATTGATGAGGGATGAAGGACGATGGGGGGATGGGGTGGTGAGGGATGTCGGAGTGGGAAGATGAATTCGCGAGAGTAAATGTGACGAGATAAGAATAATCAATATAATAGCAGAGTACATAAAAGAGAAGTAGAATAAGGAAATGGAAATAATGAGGAATAAGAAAGGATTAATAAGGAGAAAGAGCGAAAAAAAATTGTAAAAAAAAAAAAATAATAGTGTAATGGGTCATAGAAAATGGAGGTAGGGTGAAATGAAAATGGGAGGAGGGGTTACAACATGTCATATTAGCTGTGATTTATGGGGAAACTTTAAAATTTACGACGTTTGATTATGAATTATCTGACACCGGGATCTACCTACTTTCACGGTCCAGCATAATATTTTTCAATCATTTTTTTTTTTTAGTAATTAGTCTGTTATTGGATATTCGGAAAAATTATGTAGACAATATTTCCCTCACTACCTCCCCCAACCTCCTGCCTGCCCCCTTCCCTACATAGCGCTTTCTCTATCTCTCACACTACCTCCCCTTCCTCCCTGTTTATCCTACTTTCCCCTTCCTCTCTCTCTCTCTCCTTTCCTCTCTCGCCCTCCCCCTCCTTCCCTGATCTTCATATTTTTCCCAATTTAACGGGAAAAAAACACTCATGCACACGGGAAAAACATTTCAGTCAGATCAGAAAGGCGAGCACTGTGCTGACATATGCAGCCGAAACGAAATAATGTAGGAATGTGTTGTAAGACTCCAGTTCGTGAGAGGGAAGAATGCGTTTCAGTAGAATTTTATGTCTTGACAGCTCTAAAGAGGCCCTGTGCGTTCTAGCAGCAGCTGTCCACGTGCTAACAACCTCGTTACTTACCTCTCTCTCTCTCTCTCTCTCTCTCTCTCTCTCTCTCTCTCTCTCTTCTACGGCTCCCTTGAGACTCTCATTTTCATTCTTCCTCTTCTCTTAATACTCCTTTCTCTCATCTCTGTCTGTCTCTCTCACCCCTTCCCGTCTTTTCCTATTTTTACACCCCGTTTTCCATCTTTCCACCTCTCTTATCTATCACCTGTCTCTCATCCCCTTCCATCTCTTTTCTGCTGTTTCTCTACTTTCCCTTCCATTTGTATACCCCCTCTCACCCATCATCTGTCTCTCTCTTTTACCTATTCCTTTATTACCACCACTCATCCTTTTCCTTATTTTTATACCTATTCCTTTACTCTTCTCATCCATCTTTATTCTAAAACACTAACCTCCTCCTTTTTATACCTATTCCATCGCTCCTTTTCCATCTTTAAAATGTCTCTTCCTTCCCATTTTCTTCTTTCTTACTTTACCATCTTGTATTACCTACCACTCACCCCTCCATTTTATTTTACCTATTCCTCCCTTCTCCCCTTCCATCTCTTTACGCCCGTTCCTTTAATCTCTAACTCCAATATCTACTGTTTTCCCATCTACCTTCCTTCCCCCATTCCATCCCTGTACTCCTTCCCATCTACCCTCCATACCCAGTTCCACCCCCATATTCTCTCCCTTCCCACCTACCCTCAATCCCCCTTCCACCCCTATACTCTCCCCTTTCCCACCTACTACCTCCCCGTCACCGTTACGTTTGGGCTGAGAAACTGAAAATGATATATGGTCGAGTGGTCCTTCTGAGTCGAGTTTTATTACAGGTTTTTGAAAGAGGTATCTTAAGGACGTGTCCCAGCTCCCTCAACCCCCCCTTCATCCTTACCTACCCTCTCCCCCCTTCCTTCCTTCCTACCCCCTTTCTCTCCCCTTCCTACCCCCTCCTCCCTTTCCTCCCTTCCATCCCTCCTTCCCGTTCCTCCTCCTCCAGCCTTCCCTGTCATCAACCACCCCTACCTCCATTCCCTCCCTCCCTCCTCCACCCCCTTTTAAAGATTCCCTAATAAAAGAAATATTAGCCTTGAAAAGATTCCGTCAGGCGTTTTAGAGAATAATTACTTTTAAATATGAACTGTAGTTGGTCGGGGGTGGGGGAAGGGGGGGGTGTTGTGATGTGAATGCCATTTTGGTGAAGATAATTTTTGTTTATTATTATTATTAAGAAATGTCGATTAGGTTTCTGTAAGGGCTAAAAAAAATTCTACCCTAACCTAAACCTAACCTAACATAACCTAACCATTAGTTGTTGTGTAGAGAATTATCATAAAGGTTTATTAGGGAAAATAATATATTCTCCATCACATTATATTAATTACCTTTTCTTTAATAATTTTTCGTATGTTTTTTTTTAGACAATTAAAACCGTATTTTTTTCTACTAGTTCATTAATTCTTATTTATATTTAGAGCACCATTGTAAAGTTTTGTAGCACCATCGTAAAGTTTTGTAGCGCCATCGTAAATTTTTGTAGCGCCCTCGTCAGGTTTTGTAGCACCATCGTAAAGTTTTGTAGCGCCATCGTAAGGTTTTGTAGCGCCCTCGTAAAGTTTTGTAGCAACATCGTAAAGTTTTGTAGCAATCGTCAGGTTTTGTAGCGCCCTCGTAAAGTTTTGTAGCGCCATCGTAAGGTTTTGTAGCACCATCGTAAAGTTTTGTAGCGCCATCGTAATGTTTTGTAGCGCCATCGTAAGGTTTTGTAGCACCATTGTAAAGTTTTGTAGCACCATCGTAAAGTTTTGTAGCACCATCGTAAAGTTTTGTAGCACCATTGTAAAGTTTTGTAGCGCCATCGTAAGGTTTTGTAGCACCATCGTAAAGTTTTGTAGCGCCATCGTAATGTTTTGTAGCGCCATCGTAAGGTTTTGTAGCGCCCTCGTCAGGTTTTGTAGCGCCCTCGTCAGGTTTTGTACCACCATCGCCAGGTTTTGTAGTCAATAAAGAAATATATTCCTCCCGAGAGTACTTATTTTAATAATAGGAATAACATTTCGTGTTTCTTTGTTCCTCAGATAAAAATATATTTCTGCCAACATTTATATACAGTATAATATATATTTTTAATGGGAAATATATCCTTAGGTACTGGAGCCAAAAAAAAAAGGACACGTTTTCAATAACAATATTAATGTATAATAAAAAACAATATTGTGCGTCCTCTCAATGAACAATTTTGAACAACGAAACTTATCCCTACAATAACTTCCCTTTACACTTAACTTAACCTAACCTAACCTAACCTAACCTAACCTAAACCTTTTGTAAGAGATGTTAATACATTTCTCTAATATTTTTTTTATATCAAAAACTTCCCTCAAAGACACTTCATCATATCTACAGAGTATAATGCGTATAATATTTTTTTTCCCTTCGGTATACAATTGGAACGTCTGAATAAAATTTGTATGGAAATGTGTATGCAAATTAGGAATTGTCTTGGAAATTAGTTCTTTCTGAGCGAGGTGAGTTAATAAGGGCCTCTCGGTGATCAACGAGGCTCTCACTACACTACTGCAGACGAGGTGTGTGTGTGTGTGTGTGTGTGTGTGTGTGTGTGTGTGTGTGTGTGTGTGTGTTTTTCCGAAAAATTGACTCGGCTAATTTTATTCAGTTTGTTTTGAAAGTTGTTTGTGGTAATTTGCGAATGCCAGTGGCTGAAATGTGGCACTGACCTTTACAAAGGCAGTGACCGTAAAAGTGTACTGACCCCTAAAGGATGGCACTGACATTTAAGATCTAGTTTTAACTATAGTGCAGCAGCAACACACAACAGGGAATTGTAATTATTTCATCACCTTTCGAAATAACTGCCTTACGAAAATAGAATAGTTACATAACTCAATCACAATATAGTAAAATAAAACATAAGTAAGTAAATACGAAGTAGACTACACACACACACACACACACACACACACACACACACACACACACAAAACAATACAATAAAAAGAATGCTTACATAAACATCGACAGAGAGGTAGCAAATGTATATCAACTAGATGTTTAAACAAGACATCAACAATAACATAGTTTAATCCCCCCCCCCTTTCCTCCTTTCTACCAGGTTCAGTGACCAAGACGAGCAACTTGGCCAACTTCTATGGTGGAGAGAACCTGTGGCCCGAGTCTGGCTGGAAACCCTCCGACGGGGACAAACCCGAAGCCAAGGTAGTGAACGGTCGGGGGGCGCAGAACCGCAACCTCCTGGCCTCCCTAGCACCTGAATACGCTGAGATCGACTCCCTGGGCACCTTCACCGCCGGTAAGAAGGGCGAGATGGACGTGAGCGCCGAGGCCTACGCTTCTGCATCCATCTTGGCGGCTTGTAACAACAGGAAGAATAAGGTAAAGAGAGAGAGAGAGAGAGAGAGAGAGAGAGAGAGAGAGAGAGAGAGAGAGAGAGAGAGAGAGAGAGAGAGAGAGAGAGAGAGAGAGAGAGAGAGAGAGAGAGAGAGAGAGAGAGAGAGAGAGAGAGAGAGAGAGAGAGAGGTGGATGGATGTGCGGCAGTCATTTCTGGCTTGAATGGTTGAGTGATTAGTTTGGAGTTTATACCACACACTTGTCCTTGTAAAATCACTGTAATCAAGCTATGCCGCATTTCAGTCATATAACTAACTTCCTCACGTGTGAAAATCATCATTATACAGGTACGAGAAAGCGAACATTTAGCTGGAGAAAGGCAGACGAAAAACACACATCGGGACAGCAGCTTAAACTCTCCCCCTCAAGCTTTTCCCTCACCCACTCACTCTGTCCTCCTCCTCTGGCTCACTTCCAGCAGGTGTCCGAGAAGTTCCTGTCGCTGCCGCAGTGTGTGCCGCTGTTGAAGGGCTCTCACCATCATCTCCATCACCTGCAGGGACAGTCGCAGAAGCAGCAGCAGCAGCAGCAACAGCAGCAGCAGCAGCAGGACGAGTACAGTTGCAGACTCTCCAAGGACATGCTCAACAACACCGACAACGAAGGTGAGTTTTTCAATTTATGCGTGTGTGTGTTATTTGGCGTAGAAACAGATTATGTAAAAGTTTATGACTAAAGGAAACCAAATTCATCTGACAGAGTATGAACTACCATTATAAAATAAGTTATAATGGGGCAGTCTGGGAAAACACGTTTTTAAAATCTCTCTCTGGTACTGAAATTCCACTTCTTTCATCCCACAGATAAGTCAGTCACGGAGTCTAAGCGTCCATTCTTCATCGAGACGTCGTCACCAACGCTGCTAGGGTCGTCGAGCCTGTCGTTCACCAGCACGGGTGGCCCCAGGCTGACGTCCACCACCCTGAGTGGCCACCACCTGGCACGCCACACACCTAGCAAGGGCGGCGCTTCCCCCTACAGTGTCAACCCCTTCACCTCCCAGCCTCACCTTCTCCATAAGGTTTGTACACCTCCTCTGATTCATTCAACAATACTTAATCTACTTGATATACAGTATCTGTCAATCTCCTGATTGTTATCATTAAGAGACAGTGTGTTAGCCCTCTCCCTTCACCTGTCAGTGTGTTCATTAATTACCGAGAGCAGTAGGAGTGCACATGAAGTGGACCCAGTCTTACGTGTCACTTGGTAAAAAACAAACATTCAGTCTCGAACATACACGAGATACTGAACATCATCTTCTGCTTTCACCAAAAATAAAATCATTCTTGTAAATATACAAGTACATAAAAACGGCCCAAATAAAATGATTACAGTATATGGTTTACTGCTGGAATGAATAAGGACATCCTTCTTATAATAATAAATGAACAGGTAATGAATCAATTTACCAATAGTATCCTGCCTACACACGACGTCCGTTCCCACTAGCAAGTCTATATCCCGGCCGGCAGTTTATGATGAATAAATTGATAAGAGAAATTTACCTGATTTACCTAAGGGTCATCCCCAACTACTGGTGGCCAAGGATGAAGGAGGAAGACCAATGAGCCGGTGTAGGATCCCTCCATTGTTCTTGATACATATTTACAAGCTTCTTCTTTTTACAAACATTAATGAGATTCATATATCTAATCCACCATCATCCTTGCCCACAAAATACAATATCCTTCTATAAGCTGCTTGATTATTTCCACATACGAATAAAAAAAAAAACTTCCATCGGATTACCTGAAGAATTAACACCCCAGCTTATTTCAACTAAAGATTAACCACCCTAATACTAACCTAACCTAACCCCACGCCCCAAATAATGTCAAGGCTGCTTAAAGTGAAACAAGCTGGGGTGGTGATTCTTCAGGTGGTACCCTTCATCTCATCCCCCTCACCACTGACTAATACATTTCCCTCCTTATTTCTCTCGGCTTACAGGGTATAGCGTTGACCCTGCGTGATCTGGTGCCTCCCCCGCCCCCACATCCACCGCCAGGCTCACACAGACACAGGGAATTCTCCAGGACTAACACCCTTGAGGAGGTAAGGACAGACAGACAGACAGATATATATAGATAGATAGATAGATAGAAAGAAACGAGACATAAACCAATAAGGAGAGAGAGAGAGAGAGAGAGAGAGAGAGAGAGAGAGAGAGAGAGAGAGAGAGAGAGAGAGAGAGAGAGAGAGAGAGAGAGAGAGAGAGAGAGAGAGAGAGAGAGAGAGAGAGAGAGAGAGAGAGAGAGAGAGAGAGAGAGAGAGAGACTGAAACTCCTACCTCGATAAAAAAAGAGTCGAGCACTTAAAGGCTCCAAAATCCGAAGATGTTCCTTGATAGAAGTAATATTTTGAGCAGGAAGTGAAGAAGACAATAAAGAGTGAGAGAGAAAGAGAGAAAGAATGAGTGAGACACAAAGAATGAATGTGCGAGATAATGAATTAGTGGGAGAAAGGAAGAATGAGTGAGAGAAAGAATGAGTGAGAGAAAGAAGGAGGAAGTGAAAAAAGACAAAGAATGAGTGAGAAACAAAGACTGAGTGAGACATAGAAAGAATGAGTGAAAGTGAAAAAGAAAGAAAGAAAGCGTGACACAGAAAGACAGACAGACAGACAGACAATTTACAGCAATAAAAAGAGACATCACCTACACACAATTCCAAAACAATTATCGGAAAATAAATAAACAAAAACAAAATAAAAGTGAGACCCAATGAAAAAAATACAAAACAAATAAATGAAATAGAACAAAGAAAAAAAAGACACTAGAAATAAAGTAATAAGGAAGAGGAAATAAAGGAGGTGTAGGAAAGGGGAAGGGGAGGGGGGTGAGGGGATAACGTGATAAGGAGGAGGAGCAAGAAGACGAGGGCCTCCTGGTGGGGGCTGTGATGGAGTGGCAGAAGAAGTGAAGTTCAGAGTCTTCAGAGGTTTTGTGGGAGAGAGAGAGAGAGAGAGAGAGAGAGAGAGAGAGAGAGAGAGAGAGAGAGATCTACATGGTCCATCCTCTACACAGTAAAAGTGGAATTACCAACAAGAACAGAGGTAGTCGAGTGCTGTGCTCCCCTCCCACCGAGCTCTAGTGAAGTATTTGTAACTTTAATACTGCTGGACGTGCACACACAGGGACACAAAAGACCAGATAGGAGAGAGTGAACGAGTCTTTAGGGGAAGAAAGGATTATTTCTTTGTTTTTGAACGGTTTTGTGCAGAGGAACCAAGTCCAGAATGTTTCCATTTAGTTATTAAGCTTTACTGTTCCCAAAGTGAATTAATGTTTGAAGAATTTGCACGGAGTGATTTGTTGACTATCGGGAGGTGTGCTGAGGGTGAGTTGTTGTGTGTGTTAACATGTGTTCCTGTGACTTGGTTGTACCTAAGAATATATTCGTCGGTGTTTCTCACTGACGAATTACAAGCATTGAAAATCAACAGGATATTTTGCAGTGTATGATTTGTTGGGTAGCAAGAGATTTGTTCTGGAAGTTATAATATAATATTTGTGACTGTTCTCGTCTCCCACAGTTGCCCTACGCCTGCTACTCCTCCACACGGGTTGCTTCACCTCGGCCCTCCCGCACAGCCAGCCTGGAAGGGGGCGGCTCCCCCTACGGAGGATCCACCAACACCTACCAGAGCATCGACGGTCTGACTGACGCCCTTCGCCGGGACGATGACCGCTGTTGCTCCCATTCCTGTAGTCATGGACAGTGTCACTCCCACCACAGCCACGGCCACGGACACTCCCATGGCCGCTGCAGCACCTGTGGCTCCCGGAACTCGTCGGCGTCTGCTTGTCGTCGCAACAGTGGCCGCACCAGCCGCTGTGGACACGTACGGTCGGGCAGGACCTCGGGAGGATCGCTACACTCCCTGGCACGACCTTGCTGCCATGACCCCAACCGTATCTCTCCCTATGAGTCCACGGCACCCGCAATCCCTTCCCACGCTTATAGACCCAACTTCTACGGCTGGGCTTCTCCCCCAGGCTCTCCGGGGGTGGACGATGGCAGGATGGGGCCGCGACGGCAAGTGTCCCTCGAAAGTGATGCTCTTCTGAGGTCCGACCAGACACAGGTGTATGCTCCTGGGGGCTCAATCCGCTCTGACGGCGAGTACTGGTGTAGTCGTGACGCCGCTAGCGTCTACGGGGGCTCAACGCGCTCTGCCGGTGGGGAGACAGGCGGAGGGTCGAGGGCGGGGCCACCGGGAACGTCCCCGGACTCCAGTGCCGTGGAGGGCGTCCCTAGTGACGCCATATCCTGCGGCTCCTGCGAGGAAACCGACGCGTCCTTTTACGCTGCATGCGACAAGCAGACCAAATTATAAATCCATGTGCTCCTTGAAGCCAGGCTCAGTGCCGGGAACCGTGCCGGGCTGGAGCTGTGTTATGCCAGTGTAGCGGACGAGGCATCTAAGAACTCCAGTGTCAGTGATGAAAACCCCTTAGTGTGTAGCTTTAAGAGTGGTGACACCCGGAAGGGACAAGACGCTGTCTGGCGTGACTCGGGTGATTTGTGAACATTGCACTGCCAGTTGCCAAAGCTGAGGTAATATAATTACCCAGAACTGTGCCATAGAAACTCTATACGGGCAGCGCTGGAAAGGATGCGTGACCACAAGGTGAGAAGGACGGCGATGTTATTACCTGAAGGACTCTCAGGTGGGCCTCACCTGGCCTGGGCTGGACGAGAGGCACACCTGGACCACAGGAAGAAGCTCATTATCGCCGGCCTCGTCACAATACTCTTAGGGTAGGTGTGTCTGTAGTGGGCAAAAGAGGATGTAATCTCCTCTCCCCAGCCGAGCTTTATCTCCCGCTTGTTAAGAAGGAAAATGGAAAACTCTGAGGTATACCATGATCTTCCTCGGATGGAGGGATGACGATGTGCTCTCAACTTGTTATGGAGCGGCGGCTTTATGCTGTCAGCTGTTGAATTATGAGAGGAAATTTTAATCCAGTGGAAGCAACCCTCTGCACGCTGAGCCACGGAGGAAACTTCGTTGTCCACAGTAAAAATTATTGAGCTGTACCACCAGACGTGACCATTGTCGTGAGCTTACGACACAGCAACTTCTTTGTGTTATGCTTTAACGTTCGTATAGTGATTTACTTACCGCATACGGTAATATCATGAATTTATATGGCAAAAGAAAATAAAGTGAATAATATTGATATTATAATTGTCCTGCCATTCATCAGAAAATAGGAATGCTCATTATGCCGTCACAACACCGAAAAGGCTTGCTGTGTCGTTAGCTCACAGCTTGCTGAAGGTTAGTAAACTCTCCCGAGGGTGACGCAGCAGCAGGTGTAGCGAGGGGCCCAACAGCTAAGTAATTACGAAGCCCCACAGGTGACTATGCAAATAACCGGAACAGGGTGTTGAGTTGCTGCTGAGCCCAACTCTTGTCTTGTCTTACACTCAACATAACACAAAAACTACACTTTTGATGGTATATGTGTTTACCATATAGAAAGAGCATTATTTTTCCTATACGTAAAGTTTGATGGACGCCAGGTGAATGCATAATGATACAGATAAATGTTTTTAACATTTTGACTGATATATGTTGGGGGAAAATGCACTCAAACCGCTCAAAACATTCGGGGCTGATGTTAAACATTGCTATGGTGACTTAAACGTTCTTCTGGGGATGTTTACCTAAAAGATGGTGTATGTTAGAAATTTTATGTAGAACTAAAGTGATATACAACTAGAGGTTTTGTAATAAGAGTGTAATCGTCCAAAAGTGTGTTTTTTGTGTGAGTATCGACGACAGGCATTAAAAGGGCTCAGTCGGCACCTCCATACAGAATGTTTGAATCAACTCACGCACTGTGTACATAACTCTTATTGTGGATTTGGTTCTAGGAGTTCTGTTACTGCATGGATGGAGGTAACTAGATGTATTTTGCAAACAAGATCTTGTGAAAGACTAAATATTTTCTCTATTGGCCAGTTTGTACATAGTGACTAGTGATATAAGGTATGGAAGCTTACCCACTATGCGAATTTTGGGGATATGGTAGATGGCAGACGTCTTCAGCTGGGGTATATGGCACTTGACTCGGTCTGTAATAATTAGGGTACTCGAATGATCAAACTAGGATGTAGAAATCTTTTGATATTACAGAATATAATTTGAAAATAAAGCATTTCTAGTCATTTGCCGTTGATAAAGTATAATTGATTATAAAACTAATGTTGTTAAGAGCTAGGAATACCTAAATCGTAAGCTTGTTTTTATACAGACTTGTGAATGTGTTCGTGCGACTCACTAGAGTTCTTGTAATTCACGTATACATAGTATATCGAAAATGTTGCAAAAATGTCAATTATATGCTCTAATGCAGGTGTAAATATGGGCCAAAAGTCTTTTGTAAACTTGTCATGTCCTCAACACTGCGTTACAGGGTGTCTAAAAAAGATTTTCGTTGTTGGCAACCGGAAATAATTTTTTCTAGAAATTCTGTGTACAAAACAATCCCTCTTAGGTACTTAATGTGTAAACGTGATATGATAACAGCAGAAAAAACTCGTTTATTTTGGAACATTGAGCCGAATGTATGAGGTCAAAAACAATTTCATACTCCGTGTCTAAAGTTAAACTTGATCAAAGTCCAACGATGATGTCAGTTGTAAGACATCTTCACGTCTTTTGACTGGGAGTATGTGGCAGAAACTTTGTCATAAACAGACGGTTAAGCACGTCTCATGTTTATAACCAACAGGCCTATTACAACCACTTCTGATCATGTCATACACCCGTGGCCAGTTGACAAATCCAGCCACACCCGTCGACGAATGTATGTCATGTCATGTCATGTCATGTCAGGTCAGGTCAGGTCAGGTCAAGTCAGGTCAGGTCACATACCAGCAGCAAATGTGAGGATTGTGATGTGTAAATGAGAGTCAGTTTCTCTGCGTCAGTGTCACAGTGAAGTGAGTGACTCCTGCCTGAGATCCAGTCAGGATGTAAAACAGATTGGATTTTTTTCTAATGACGATTTCTTTCTTTATGGCAGCGAGAGGATGAATTATTATGATGTAACTAGTGTGGGAAGGAAGCCGATCATTATTTTTATCAATAATTATAAACGTGAATTATATATAAACCGTATTTATTTTGGTAGATGAATGATTAAGGAGCGAAAAAAAAAAATACCGTTTCGTTATATATTTATGGTGTGAAAATATTCCACAACTCCAAAACAAGTGTCCGAACGCTGTGAAAAATGTGACTCCCCCTTGACTTGGACTTTGGCATCAATAACATACAAACACCAACAGGATTTTTGTTTCCCCTATGGACGAATTTTTTTTTTTACTTTGCTGTTATCACATTTGTTCTTCGTTGCTTCTCTCCCTCGTTACCCTCTCCCCCTTTACCACCACCTGTTTGTTATTATGAATTTCCCGCAGGTGCTCGTTACCCAAAGGTAGTTGGGGTCAAACGAGCCTGCCGCCAGACCTATCACTTGCTCACACAGATTCGAACACCACGTAGCTCCCTGACTCTCTCGTTGACATTTTGTTTTTCTTACAAGTCATTCATCCCCGATTAAGTGTGAAAAGATGTTTGTAATGTCTTCCTATACGCCTCTCTCTCTCTCTCTCTCTCTCTCTCTCTCTCTCTCTCTCTCTCTTACCCTCCATCCCGACAACTTCTTTCATCGCCCTTCCCCTTTCCAATTCTCCTTTTCCTACTGCTCCCCAAATTATTTCCCTTCACTCTATACGACTTTTCCGCTATCGTTCTCTTTCAATTTCCCCTTTTTTTTTTCTTTTTATTCCTCTTTCTTTTTTTTCTGGCCATCTACTTCTCACTTGTGTTTATCCAATGAGATAATCCACATGCAGAGAGAAGAGAGAGAGAGAGAAGAGAGAGAATGATTACCATCTTTACCTCCACCTGTTGAAGCCTTCCTCCGCCACCTGACCAGATGATGAATGACTCCCTCCCACAGGACCCAAAAAAAAAAATAAATAAATAAAAAACCCTTCCCAGAATCCCTTTCCACCATTAAGGCAAGATGTGAATAACTTTTCCCTTTCCATTTCATTCCAGTTCGTGTTTTCAGTATTTTTGTTTTCAGAGTCAGAAGCTCGTGGACGTAGCGGTGTAAATAATGTAAATAAAAGTAGTCTTACCCCACCCACCCCCCCCTTCCCTTGTCTACCACCTCCCCCCATACTCCTCCACCAACCTACCTTTCCTTCCCCTAACCTCATCTATCCCCCCGCTTCCCACTACCCGTCCTCTCCTACCCTTCCCCTCCTTTGATCCAACCCTCCCCGTCCCATATTCCCACCTCCCTCCTGGCTTCGACGTGTGGCAGTAGATATTGCTCCATTGTTGGGTCGGTTCCTCCACCACCACCTCCCCCAGTATGTCGATATTACCTCTCTTGTCAACAGTCCAGGACCCTGATTCTCAAAGTTTCGTTCGTAGATAAAAAAAAAAGACACCTCCCCCCTAACTGAAGATAAGATAACACATCAAGGTCTATCCAATAGTGTGCCAGTGTGATTTATGCGCCATTTTGGGCTGGTAACTTCGTGTGTGTGTATGTGGAAGCTTCAGTAAGGTCAGTTAGACGCGCTCTCACATAACCAGCTGGAAGGAAGGCCGGGGACATTTTTTTTTAACTCTCGAATCTCTGGGAATCTGGAGCCAGAATAGTGAACAACTAAACAGTGGGTGAAATGTGGATGTAAATTTGGCGTGTGTGTTTTTTTTTCTGAACTATGTCTCTAGAGAGGCGTTTTGTATCTACCCTTTGTATATGTAGAAGAGCTTAGGAGACCCTCTCCCAATAAATATACACGGGCGGGGTACGAGGTTTTCACCCTTATGTCAGCCCTTCATAGAGGTGTCTGGTGATAGATGAAAGACTTTAGAAAATATTTAACAGCAACAATAATAATTAATAATGTTACCAATTAAATTTATATGGAATGTAAATAGATACATACACAGGAGAGGTAAGAAATGACATGAAAATAAGACAGAAAAGATCAATGAAGATAAATGGTGTCAGGAGGAGAACGGAATAGAACCCCACAATAAGCATGATGTTGAAACGACAAATAAAACGAGTCTTGGAGACGCCTGACAAAAGGGTGAGAGTCTGGTACACCGTCTTAATAGCCTCATTAGGTGAGGACCAGCTACGGTTTGTACGTCTAGAATGGTGTTTTGTGAAGGACAGATAGATGTAAATATACTATTGTTTACAGTATGTTGTTGTCTTATTCATATGCCCCCTCATGACTGGAGAGTGATGCTAATAGCTTCTCTTATGGTGATTATGTGCAAACTTTAAGGTGTATAATTACATATTTACACATTTACACACATATACCTACACAGAAACGAGCGAATACACACACACACACACACACACACACACACACACACACACATTATTTAAGGTTATAAACAGAGAAGAATAATTGTTTTTTCTGGCTTCACGGCATAACTAAAACATGAAAACTAACAAAATATTAAGTCATTGATATAAAGAACATAAAGATCCTATATTTTACAAAGAACTAAATACTGACGTTTATAGACGAGAGGCAATACAGCACAAAATGGCCAGGTAGGTCAGTAATAATCCTCCAGGTAAAACAGACTGCAAATAATGAAGCAAAATGAATGGTTCCGTAGGACGTCTTCCACCACGATTCAGCCAAGTACAAGAGCCGCCCACAGCCACCCCCACCGGATTTTATGGTCCATGTGTGTCAGTAACGTACATACGGGTACATAAATGTGTGTGTGTGTGTACAGGGACGATCATAATTATAATCCGAAAACAGTATAAATTAATATCATCCCTATACTAACCTAACCTAACCTGGTATAATGGTAAACGACAACATAAATGAAACAAAGCAGACGCAGACTCTCTCTCTCTCTCTCTCTCACTCTCTCTCTCTCTCTCTCTCTCTCTCTCTCTCTCCAACATGTATCGAAAACGTAGGGAAAACTCGGTAGCAACTCAACATGGTGGGTGGCGAGAGCTTGACGCCTCCCCAGGAAACCGCCTGTCTGGAGCCTTGATGGAACGGCCTGGGGAAGGGAAGTGCAAGCAGAGGGGGGGGGATTCTGACGTCTGCTGGGTGATTCTGACGTCTGTTGGGTGATTCTGACGTCTACCGAGTGAATCTACCGTTTATTGGGTGATTCTGACGTCTACCGAGTGAATCTGACGTCTGTTGGGTGATTCTGACGTCTACCGAGTGAATCTGACGTTTGTTGGGTGATTCTGACGTCTACTGAGAGAATCTGACGTCTGTTGGGTGATTCTGACGTCTGTTGATTGATTCTACTGCTCCATTTTGTGACTTCTATAAGGATTCAGGATGACTACGAAGAATCTGTCTGAGAAGTTTGAAAATACCAAGAAAACCTGTCGATCAGACCCAGTAAGTGCCGGATATACACAGTAAGTGACAAGAAAGTGCCAGGAATTATCATAAGGTGGTAATAATGAGATTCCCAACGCCAGGAGACAGTACGAGTAAGTACCAGTAGGCAGTGACAGGAGATACCAAGTACTTACCGGTAGACAGTGATATGAATAACATATACCCAGATTGCTTCACCGGGAGACACTCATAAGATACACCAATAAGTACCGGGAGAAAGTGACAAAACACGTAAGTACCGGGAAACAATAACCACAGGCACACAGTAAATACCGAGAGACAATGATGAGACACTTCTTCAGTACCAGGAGAAAGTGACGATACATCCAGTGAGTTCCAGGAAGCAGTGACTAGAGAATATTAGTAAGTACCAAGGGACAGTGATAAGGATGATCAGGTTACAGTAAGTACCGAGGGAAAGTGACAAAGGACGCCTAAGTAAGTAACACCTAGGTAGTGATAAGCTGTAAACACAAACAGCAAATAAAAAGAAATCACTGTTGACATTCAGGAAAGTACGAGAGAGAGAGAGAGAGAGAGAGAGAGAGAGAGAGAGAGAGAGAATATTTCAACATAAAAAAATGCCAACAAGACAACAATATCAGGACCCTGTATCCTTCACCTCCACTTTCCTCACGTTTCTCTCTCTTCCTCTTTCCTATCTCCCTCCTCTACCCTCCCTCGTCCTCTCTCCACGTTTCCCATGCTTCCCTTTCCCTCTTTCCATCACCCCACCCCCCCACACATATACACTTTCCTCCCTCCTTCCTCACACCCACCATTCTTCCCTTCCTCCTCCCACACACATTTCACCCTCCCCCTGCTCTCCAACTCCTCTCACGCCTTCCTTACACCTGCCTCCCCCACCCTTCCTTTTGACTTGATCTTCCCCTCTTTCCTCCTCCTCCTACTATTTCCTATTCTATCATCTCCTTCCCCCTTCCACCTCATTCTCCTACTACACTCCTCTACCCCTCCCTTCTCTTGCTACCGTTCTCTTTCCCATTAAACCCCCACTCTTCTGACACCTCACATCCCCCTCCCGCTACTCACCAACCCCTCTCTCTAATCCCCTTACATTCCTTCCCACCCACTCCTCCTTCCCGTTTATTTTCATTCATTCCTAAACCCCTCCCTCTCCCTCTTCTCCATGCCCTCCCCTACTCATTCGTACTCCTCGTTACACCCTTTTCTTAATTCTACTCACTTCCCATCCCCACTTCCTTCTCCTATTCCTCAAACTTTCTCTCCTCTCTGACTACTTTCCATTTCCCCTCTTTTTTTCATCCCACTTTTAACAATAGAAGGGTCACACTTCCATGTAAATATACTGCATTGTCACCTTTATCAGCCCGGCTTACTCCACACTACCCCAAACCACTAGTTAACCAGCAGGCAACTAGTAAGAACGTGAGTCATGAGATGGCTCCTGATTGGTGGAAAACCATAGCCGGCTGTTGGGGGGCGCCATCTATGACAGGTGATGTCTACTCTAACTGGGGAGTCAACGTCAGTTCTACTCTCACCATCATCGGCTACTTGTCTGCTCTGTCGTGGAGTGAGCCACCGTTACCTGCACTACCTGTACACAGCGGAATCTACTGGCCATCTATTTGTAAAGTGTATTAGTACAGCTGAGCGCATTATTTATCACCATTGTATATGTGTATTTGTGTTGATTTTGTTTTAAGAATATTATAAAAATCACTTACATATTTTTCACGTCCCACTGGTTATACTGTGTTGGGTGTTGTCATGTCAACGATGAGTGTGGTATCAAATGTTCAATTAAGCCAAGTAATGCTGTAATAACTAAACCTACAGTAAAACATAACTAGAAAAGTTCACAATACAAACAGATTGCCATTTGTTACGTAATTGTGCATGAGTACTACAAGGTATTATAACTAACTCATTCCCACCAAAAAGCCCCTAGACACACACACACACACACACACACACACACACACACACACACACACACACACACACACACACACACACAGGTAAAGAAATCATTTAAATTTTGAGAATAAAATGTAGTAAAAGCAAAGGAACTTAAGACAATTGCCTTCTTAACTGCTCAGTTTCCTTAACACACTCTTCTCTCCCATCACCTTCTCGTTCTCCTAACTCCCCGAGCCTTTCCTCAATCTCCCACAATCGCACCTCTTACTTCCCCTACCCCTCCTTACTTCACCCCCCCCGTACTCTTCCCTTCCCCCATTCTTCCTCCATCGTCCTCTCAAATTTCCTCCATCGTCTCCTCTTCCCTCCTCATATTACTCCTTCCCTCTCCCCTTCCTATGTTCGTCTGTCCTCCACACCCTCCCCCTCTTCTCCAACAGTTCTTCCCCTCCTACGCGGTGCCTCTAACAAATGAGATGAGTCTCCCGTTCGGTACCACCTTGAGGGCCTGTGATAAGGGCGCGAGATGGAGGGCTATTGGCACAGTGCCTCAGGGTGCCTTGATGTAAGAGCCGCCCAAGGCCACCCACTACCGACCTGCTCGCCTGCCCACCCCTAACATAACTCTGCTTGATTAAAAAATCTTGACAAGAAGTGGGTCAGGATTCTCGTGGTTTGCATAGAATGCATGATGGGGTGGGGGAGGAATGTGTGGACGGTGTGTGGTGTGTGTGTGTGTGTGTGTGTGTGTGTGTGTGTGTGTGTGTGTGTGTGTGTGTGTGTGTGTGTGTGTGTGTGTGTGCATGTGTGTGTGTGTGCATGTGCGTGCATATGTGTGCATATGTGTGTGTGAATGCGTGCGTGTGTGAATGCGTGCGTGTGTGTTATGACATGTGAGCAGAGGTGTTACATCGAGAGATGGCGTTGACCTTTTGACTTTTGTTGTATTGTGTAGGATTCCTATTCAATCAACTCTTTTCTTTTATTCATGTCGGGTTTTCTGTGGCGCATGTCAGCCAGGGGTTCAGTGTAGTTTTCAAACATGCGTCGATAAGTGTACTGAAAGGTGATATACTTCCTGTATGATCAACAACTAGGTGTATCCTACAATAAAAATCATCAAAAGAAAGTTATTCATGAAAATATATTCAGTTACATGATTATAATGAAACTAAAACAATAATTTTCTCGAACAGTATCAACATAGTAATGCCTCACTGAAGGATAATTATAAAGGTGATTTCAAAAGCTATTCCTCGGGCCAAGTATGACGAGGTTTTATCATTAAGACAGGGAGATTACTCGTGTCCTGCCTCAGCCAGCGTGTGATACCGTGCCATCAAGAGACTGGAACAAGGTGAACTTATCTGATGTTTCCTCACCCCTTGTGAACTCAATGGTCTTGTAGCTGTTGGTGGCCTATAGCAGCATTATACCCCAGTACTACCTCTACGAGTCTACGTCAATAACAAGTTGGAATGTATACCGTAAACATTTCAAATATTATTATCAACTTAAGAAACAATATCAATATCTTAGCTCCGTGTTCCAGGTAACAGGTTTCTTGCTGCCTCAAAGGATCAGATCTTGAAGTGCATTATAAAAAGTAATTTATCGTGTAATAAGTATATAATATAAGCCTCTGGCAAAAATCACACACACACACACACACACACACACACACACACACACACACAAGGTATAAGAATACCTGTGAGAGTCCCCCCCGCCCCCCCCCCAATAGGTTACCCCACCCAGGAAGCGTGACTAGACCGCCTAATTCTCAGCTAGCAGATGTGTACAGTGGACGGCGGCACACCCGGACCTCAAGCAAGAAGCTCCGCCAACCACCACATAAACACTGTGGTGCCGGAAAAGAATAGTATATAGAAGACTG